CATCTTGGGGGCCTCTTGGAGGCCTCTTGGGGCTTCTTGGGGCTCTTTGGGAGGGGTCTGGGAGGCATCTTGGGGCCATCTGTCGGGCGATCGATCACAGATGGGGCGAGCACTTTTCTCCCCCCCCCCGTCGGGGCCAGAATCCTCGTGAGGGGTGTCGAATTAAAGCCCTCCCAGGAGTCGAAAAAGACCCCTCCAACGACCCGCGGAACGCCCTTTCCAGGCCCAGGGGGAGGGGGGAGGGGGAGGGGTAAACCCCTCCCCGAAGGGGAAGAAGGGGGTTGAGAACAGAGCGGGCTCGCTAAACCACTCACGCCCAAAGGGCTGGTGGGACTGTTTGAACCGTAGGTTCAATCTTGGCCTTCGTGTATTTCGCGCCAATGCCTACTTTCGTGCACTCTTCGCTGTATAGTCTATATGTTGGATTCGCATTCGAACATGGAAAAAAAAACGGTTTCAAACTTGCCCTTCGCGTCGCCGCCGGTTGTGGAGCAACCGCCACCACCAGCTACTTACTTAAAAGCTATTAATCTCCCCGGCGTCAACTTCTTTGTCTTCGGAGCCCGCGCAGGTCTGTCTCACATCCTTGCCGAGGACTCTGAAGTGCATGAGGAAGCACGTGCACAGGGGCCCGCGGCATGGATTTAACCGTTGGGTTTGCAGTGCGATTATTACACTATGTGTTTTCAGTAGGACTCCCTCGCTGCGCGTTGCCAACACGATCCCCGCGCAACGCGTTGTCAACTAGCTTCCTACACACTGGGTTCCCAATGCGATGATTATGCAATGGTTTTTAAACAGGTATCCCACACAATGGGTTTCCAACCAGATTCCTATACGATGGGTTTCCAGTCGGATTCCTACACAGTGGGTTTCCATTGCGCAATGGGTTGCCCAAAGGAATTATATTCAATGCGTTGCCGAGTGGATTCCCGCGCAATGAGTCCCCAATAGGGTTCGTATACAATGGGTTGCCAATTGGGTTCCCGCGCAACGAGCTTCAACTTGGATTCCAATGTAATCGGCTTCCATTGCGCGTCCTACACAATGGGTCTCCAGCCGAGATTCCG